GGGGGCCGCCGCGCCGTGCGCAGCGCCAAGGTAACCGCCCGGGGCTGGGGGCGCCGGTGCTCCCGGGGTGAAGTGCTCCCCTCAGGCGGGAGAGCTGGGCGCTGAGTGCTGGCCAGATGCGGGTGTGAGGAGGAAGAGACCAGGTGAACTTCCTTGCTACCTGGCTTGGCCCCGTCAGTCCGCCTGACCTGGCCTGCAGGTTGCCAGCACCTCTGTCCCCTGGGTGGGAAATGTGTCCGGCCCTGCACGTCCTGGCTAGGTTGTAGCCTGAGCCCTGAGGCCCACATGAAGCCTGGTTGCAGTCTGACTGTAACCGCTTGGTTTCTTTTCAGTAGCTGGGTGGACAGTTTAAAAAAACAAAAAAGAAAACGCGATGGTTTAAAAAAGGAAAAATTGTTAAAGCGACTCGATTGTTTTTTCCCCCGCCGTGCTGCTTGAAAGGAGCTTCGACAATGCGCCGTGTCGTAGCAGTTCTGACCGTTGTTTTCATGGCCTTTCTGTGTCCTGCACTCCTGTTTTTGCATTTGCCTGCAACTATGTTAACATGGTTTTTCCTACCCGTGGCGTCAGTTGGGACATTAGTCCCGAAGTGTGAGCAGGCAGAGCCGAAGCTATTTGACCTGTTTGGTTCATGGAGTAGAAAGCAGTGTCTGGCTACCTGAAAGAGTTGGGGTACAGGGAGCTAAGCCACACAAGAGCTAACTAGTCTTGTTTCTACATCCCCTGATGCTTTATAGTAGTAGTGCCCAACTGTTTTGCTTCTTGAGCTGGATGGCTCGTGCGGGCTGGGTCCACGAGCTGGATCCATTCCATGGGCCCAATCCACAAGCCCTATGGTAGTTGCAGCCCTGCATGGAATTGGTCCTGGCCCATGTGCTGGATTGGGCCCCCCTGTTACCCCAGTCCTGCTGCAAGAGCTCTGGCCTCATACAGGCCTAGCTACTGCCCATGAGCACAGGATCAGGTCTTGCTGTCCACCCAAAGCCCTGCATGCTCCAGGTTGGGCCGAGCCTCCCCACATGCACAGGATAGGGCCCTGCTGCCCACCATGAGTCCCACACATGTGTTGTGCTGCCCACCCCCCTGCCTAACACATGCAGGGTCAGGCCCCACTGCCTTGGTCCCATGCGTGCCTGGGGGGGCCCCATCACCTACCCTTGTGCATGTAGGTGGGATCCCCTGTGCAGGGCCATGTCATCTGGCCCACGCCGCTTGGAAATTTGTCAGTAAAGGAGCAGTGACAGCATTAATTGCCACCCTTTCCTGCCAGATTTCCAGACCTTTGAGGAGCCCAGTAGGCTGGATCACACCGCTTCATGGTCTAGATCTGTCCCACGGGCCAGGGGTTGAGAACCCTTGTTTTATAGTACTGATTAGGGTGCTAATTTGCTGTGCTTAGGAACGGCTTAGTTACTAAAATTTCATCTATAGCTAACTTTTTTTTTGAGGTGCAGTACAGTGTTGCAGTTGGCATTATTCAGTTGTTTATGACAGCGGGAGCCAATCTTTTTTTTTTTTTTGGCAGACATGCCATGTTTAGCCAATTGGCATTCTGATCCCTTTTCTCTGCCCAATCTGCTGCTCTGCTTTCAGCTGCCTGTGCATTCGGTGTTGTGCTGCCTGTCCCTACCCTGGTCTGCTGCATGCCACACACCTAGCCATGCTACTTGTAGCAAATTTTCAATAGGTTGGTCACCCCCTGTTTATAATATGATCATGGCAATGTTGGGCCATTTGAATTTTGGGAGAATGTTAAATGAGCCTTTTACTCTGTTTTGAAACCATTTCACAACAAAAATTTCCTTAATGGGTATTTCTGTGCCTGACTTTAATTAGTTTTAGCTTTGCATTTTGCTCTGTAAAGTCTTTAGGTGTGGAGATGTATAAGAACTTCTCAGTAAAATGCTGTGGATGATTTGGATTGAAAAAAGTTGAATCTCCCAAACTTAAGTTTTACGGTACTATAGGTGTGCCCAGAATCCCTATCTGATAAAGTTGTATAAAGAAATACAAAATCCTGTTCTTCCCCAGACAGCTTAAAATGCAGTCTATTAAGAATGTCTTTTCCTAATGTCAAGGTCTGATGAAAGTAGCAAATAACTAGAAAAATTCAGAAATAACAGTGTAGACCGTACATTTTTCAGAACAGTGTAAATGAGCTGCTCAGGATACCTTTCTTGAAAGTCATTTTATTTTTTCAAAGAATTCATGAAACTTGTAAAAGGTGCAGGGCTGAAACTGCTGTTCTAATTAGTTATATGAGGAAGAACAGTACAAGACATGCAATAGGAAAGCCTAATGTGCCATCATCCTGGGTTAGAGAAATAATGTAGGTGATAAAGGAGCTTTTGCCATGCACTGACCTCTTTCCCAAGACCACCAAAGAGTGTTTTCTGTCTTGGCAGACAAGGTTCTTTGGGTGAATCTGATATTTTTTTATTAGACCAATTTAAATAGTTGGAGAACAATTTTTAAGCAAGGTTTCAGGTTCAAAAACCCTTTGTCAGGCTAAGGAAGTGTCAGCAGTTGATGACTTCTGTCTTGGGGCATTTATACACATACGTTTGTCTGCTCCAACATGCTGAATTTCCGGCACACTGGAGCAGACTTGATTAATCAAGTCTGTGGATCATGCAAGCTGACGCACCTGGCGCTGCGTTGCATTCATTTGTATAAATGGTGACATGCGTGTCAGTGCTAGGTGGTGTGCTTTGAAACTAAAACACCTTTGATGTGTTTTAGTTCAGAAGTGCACCGCCGCCATTTTCTCAGCACTGATGAACATTTCACCACTTATACAAATGTATGGGATGCATTGCAGCACTGGGTTCCTTTAAAAGTTCCTGACCTGGCATCACATGCATGTGTGCATGTGCTCTTAGTTTTTAGCTTGGCTGAAACAGTTGTAGGTGGGGCCCAACCTTTTAAGAAGGCCTCCCACAGATTAGCCCCATTCCTTCCCCCAGGGCCACTCCTATCCCTTTCTCTTGCCTGATCTGCTGCTCTGTCCCCTGAGCAATTCCTGCTCTGCTTTTGGCTCCCTTCCCTATTTGCTATCAGGATGGATTTGATTTAAATAGTGATTTAAATCACTGGTCAGGGCATTGTCTGAGGAGAGCCCCTGCTGTCATGCAGTTCCAGAGCCCAGGGGGTGAACACTGTTGCTGTTCATGTTTCTCTCCCTACTAAATTCAGCAGCAAGGCGAAGTAGATGAATGGCTATAGCAGCACTCAGCCCCCTCTTTCCTTCCCTCCTTCCCCTTACACTCAGTTCTTGGGTGGGATCTCCAGCCAGGCCTTGCACCAAAAACTAACGTGGCATAGTCAAGGGGTAGTGAGACCAGGCACCGCATCCCTTCTGGATCCACTCCAGACTGAGACATCAGTTTGTCAGTATTTTAACTATTTTGATGAGCAGGGTTAGATGATATGATGGTTATAAAAAAAGATAAACTTGTTGCTTTTTGCTGAAAGTGAAGTGCATACTGGTTGGTTGGTTGGTTGTTTGGTTTGTTTGTGTGGGTTTTTTAATAGCTCATAACTGTTAATTACTTTTCCATTAGCTGTTTACAAAGTAAGTCCATGAGCACTCTCACTATAGTGAATATGTTTATAGGTTCAGGTTATGATAAGTAAAGGAACAAAATATTACCAATTCCCACAAGGTAAATAATCTATGAGAACTTGAATAATTGCCCCAAGTGTTCAATAAAGTAGCTCAGTGAAAGAAAACGCATCCAACAGACAACAAATTAAAGTATTACTAATAATTCACAAACCTTGTGTAAAGAGGAGAGCTAACATTTTTGCCTATCAACATCCTCTACAATATCCTTAAAATAACTTATCTGGAAACTGCTGTTTGTCTTTTGGAAGACCTAAAAGACAGGAAATGGACACTAGAACCTTTCATTTTTAAGTCACTAATTTAGATCCAGTCCAGAGAGGTAACAAAGTTTATTGCTGATGACCTGCATGGCATTTAATATTTGACAGCACTGTTGGCTGTCACAGTAGGGAGTCCAAGCATTTGAATGCCTGATATAATAGGGATGGAAGCCTGTGCTGGTCATGGCTTGTAGAATATTCACTAACCATTGCCATTGACTTAGTCTGCAAGTCCTGTAATGGAGAACTTCAGGTTTCTCATTCACAAGCAATAAACTCGTATCAGAAAGCTTTTGTGGTGTTTGATAAAAGAAAGTTCCCACATTCTGAATATTTGTTTCCCATGTTCTTGCAGAACCTTATTTTCATGCCCCAGAAAAGAGTGATTTCAGATATTGTTACTGTACTGGTTCATACTCTTGCAATAGCCAATCCTTAAAGCTACATTGATGTAAATCAAATATGGTATCAGGCCTTGTTGCATTGTCTATTCATAACATTTAATTTTAGTTCAATTTAAAAAAGAAACATATATATTATCCAAGCAGAGCAGCAAAAAGAGCACATTTAGTTGAATATTTACTTCATTTATAACATTTCAGATCGAAATTACAAAATATTTTGTAAAATTATCAGTACTGGTAAAGCTGCAGAATGCTAATCCAATACTTTTGGGAACAGCCAAGCGATCTAACCTGGAAGTTTTGATGTTGGTGCAGGTAATGTCTAGAAATGTAACAACAGAAATGCATTTAGAGAAATAAATATATTTTCCGTGTTTACCCTGTTTTGACATGGAGGGAAAAGGTTGGTTCTGGAGTTTTGTTGATCAGTTTAATTTCCTGCTAATGCCCGTGTCTTCAGAATCATATTTTTGCAGAATTTGTTTTCAGTGGGCACTATTGGGGACAAGATTCCCTCTAAGGTACACGCATGCATGGCTGAGCACAGCTAAAAGTGTGGCTGTGCACAGCCTTTTTCAAGGCCGCGCACCAAGAGAGGCTGGCGCGGGGGGCTGGTGCGGGCTCCGCCGGCTCTGGGGAAGTACTCCACTGCCTTCCCCGAGTGAGGCTCTGCTGGCTCTGGGACACTGCTCTGCTCCCCTGCATGGCCTCGGGGGGCATGTCCCGCAGTGTCCTGGAGCCAGCGGAGCCTCACTCGGGGAAGGCAGCGACTCCTCCACGATGTGCGGCAAGGCAGGGATGGAGGCTGGGGCAGGGGGCTGGCGCGGGCTCCAGGGAAGTGCTCCACTCCCCGGCCTTGATGCAGGAGAGCGGAGCACTTCCCCGGAGCCGGCGGAGCCCCCAGCTCTAGCCTCTGGCCCTCAGCCTCTTGGCCCGAGTCCAGCCTCTGGCCCCCAGCTCCAGCTTCCAGCCTCTCAGCTCCAGCCCCGGGCCTCCAGCCCCCTTTGATAAGCGTCCCACATGGACCAAGGCAGCGTGCTCACAGACCGAGGTGGCACGCTAACGGACTACTGCTCCTTAGAGAAAACATTGGTTGGGGCACAGTTATATTAGACCAGTGCAACACTGTTTCCCAGATGTACCTAATTTGGTATTAAGAATTATATGTAGTATTAGAATGATGTTATAGCCATGATGGTCTAGGGATTATACAAGGTTTTCTTAAAGTGCTATCTTTTACAGTATTGGACCAACTGCATAGTTGGGATAGGCAAGCTCTCGAATTCAAGACATACAGCGCTAACCTGATTAAAAATAGCCTGCATTTGAAGGTTTGTCTAACTATCCCAATTAAGCAGTTGCTCCAGTAAAAGGTATCCTAAGAAATTCTTGCCAAGCACTATAGGGAAATTGCCTTCATGAATTTGACAACTTCTTTATGCAAACTAGTTTATACAACATTACCTTATGACACTGTGAATTCATTAGCAGGGCATGGCTTCTCTAACCAGAATATAAGACTAGTAACATTTTTCCTACTTGTATTTATGGTAATGCCTCTTTAAGGCTAGTAAACACTGCCAACTTTAACAATACTGAAAACATAAGAAATAGCTGTACCGCAGCAAAGCATAATAAAAACAAAGGTGTTTCTAGTCCAGGAGATCAGGTTCTCTTTCACACCTGATCCAAATGGATGTTTTCTGTATCCCAAGAGAAAATGACTTAATTACATTTTTAGATTCATATATACATTTTTAGCTTGGTGTAGATTTCAGGGTCTGACCCTAAAGGCTTGGGGATTTTGACCCTACAGAAATTATGAAACTGTCCTGAGGCAGGTCTAGAAACCTTCATATCCGTACCTTACGTCTGTGTAAGTGTAAAAGCTTGCTTTGCCATCCAGTATGGTATTCCACTTTTATGAAATGCAAAATAAATTACAACTTTTGCTGTTGGAGCAAAACTACCTTTGACTTTAAAACTAGGCTATTGCCTTCAAATGTAAACAAAATTCTTTGAAACTCTCTTTATACTTTTAGGCTATTTTCCTGTGAAATCATTAATGGCTATTTGAAATGTATCTTGATTATGGTATCTAGAATATTGTTAAAGTTTACATCTTCATACATTTTTCACTGTAAACTGAGTTTTTCTGTTGTTGAACACATTTATCATAGTTTCAAACAAGAACAAATATATTCACATTGTATATACACTTCTTGATTTGTAGCAAGTTCATTATATTATCTTCCTTTCTCTTTTTCTCTCATCATAGGAGTATATTAAGGGACTCTGTGAACCTGAACTAGAAGAAAAGGAACATTATCCAAAGGATATGCATTGTATTTTTGTTGGTGCACATAGCCTGTTTCTTAACTATCTTATTCAGGATACCTGTGCTGATATAACAGTGTTGGAAATAGGATTACTTAGTGTTAAGGGTAGTGCAGAAGCTGTTGTTATGGCTAGAAGTCACGTTCAGCAATTTGTGAAGCTTTTTGAAACCAACGAAAGCTTATTAAGTGACAGAGAATCGGAGATAAAAAAGCAATTTAAACAATTTGTGGAAGCACATGCAGATAAATATACAATTGACTTGTTAATCTTGCCTAGCTCATTAAAAAGAGATCTTTTGAGTCTTACACAAATTAAACATTGTGAAGAGGGCAATATGATAGACCTTACAGATTCTGAAACCACAGAAGAGGTTTTACAGAACAAAGCCCCTAAAATAACTGTAAAAAGTAGAGATGGAAAAACAGTTCAGGAGGAAGCAAGAAATAATGCTGGAACCCCGGTAACAGAGCTGACGAAGCAAATGGACACAGTGCTTTCTGATGCACAAGGAAGGTGTTTTGTTCCTATAAATGGTGTGACTGCGTTGGAGACATCTGTTTCCAAAGAGAGACAGTCATGTAAGAGGAGGTCTTCAGATGCTGAGGAAAGGCTTCCTAAGAAACAATTTTCATTAGAAAGTAATCAGGAGGGCAAGCCTATACCATGCAGTGATCCTCCTGATGAGGATGTAGTTATTGATCTGATTTCTGATAGCTGCACTGAATCAGATGATCCAAGCTGCAAAGAAGGTGATGAGGAAATGGAATATAAGATTCTTGTAAACTTTTTCAAAACCATGGGCTATTCCCAAAAAATTGTAGAGCAAGTTATTGATGAACTGGGACAATTAACGGAACCATTAATACTCCTCCAAGAAATTGAAAAGGAAAATGAAAAGTTTCAGAAGGAAATGGAAGAGTCACCTCAAATATCAAGATGCACAAGTGTGCGCCTAGGAGCTAGTACAAATCGTTTACACACTGAGAAAGAGGGAGCAATTTCCAGCAGTAAAAATCGTCTTAAACCCAGTCATATTTTGAAGGAGCCAAAAAATGTACAGCAGAAAGTAGCGGACTTGCCACATGTACAGGTCAATGCAGAAGCCAAATGGTGCATGTCAGACTGTAAAAACAAAACTGCAGTTCCTTCCAGTAAAACTTCAACAGAACGTTGTAAACAGAAGGGGTTTAATTCTGATCAGCGTCATGGCTCAAGGACAAGTGATATAGAAACTGATGGTTTACTACCTTTGAACACTGTAGCATCTAACACTGTAGAGTTGATGAAAGATGGGGTGCTAAAAGATGGTGACTTCATAGCAAGAGGGAGCTCAAGCCAGCAGCAGACACCAATGCAGACTGAATTTGCAGGTTGTCAGCAAAAATCTATAGGGTCTGCACAGAATAATCAACCTGTTCATGAAAATCAGCCAGCACCTTACAGCACTTCTCAGTTCACACTCATTAACCAACACCCTTCTCAAAACCCAAGGCTGCTTGAACTTCCTCACCCAACTTCTGGTTGTCCACCCCAAGTACATCATCTAATTCCAGACTGGAAGGCAGTGGGAGCATGTAGTCGTCACACTGATCCCTCAGTTACTGGGGTTCAAAGATTTTTGGAGTCTCTAAAAAAGCCATATAGACTGGAGCTGAAAAATGAACCTGGAAGACCGTATTTAAAACACATCATTATAGATGGAAGCAATGTTGCAATTTCGTAAGTATAGCTAGTTTGCACTTCTTCCCTTTATAAAAACTTGGTGATTTTTTTTAAAGAGAAATGGGGAAGAGGAGAACGCTAACTTGCATCATTCTTTTTCTTATTTTTAATTGTATTTATAAGCTTTTGTTAACTAGCCGTCAGGTAATCAGGAGTAGGGGTGCACTGATATATCAGTTGGCTATCGGATCAGCACCGATTAAAAGGAGAAATGACATTATTGGCTATTGGCTTTTTTTGGTCATTGTAGCTGATAGCTATTGCTGCATGCCTGGGGCACCCTGACAAATGTAATCTGGTCCCCGTGCCGTGCCGGTGGCCTAAGCCCATGGCAGACTACAGGTCCCAGCGAGGCAGCAGAGAGCGGTCACGGGGCACTGTGCTCAGCAACAAAGGAACTGTTACCAGCTCCTCCTCCTGCTGCTGCTATAGCAACACTGCATATGCAGCAGGGGCCTAAGCGCCAGGGCTGTCGTGGCGATGTTGGGCTGCTTGTGGGCAGGGCAAGGTCCCATGCAAGGGACATTCCGCTTTGCCAGGCACCAGGCTCCTTTGCAAAAGTGGCTTCTCCCTGTCGCCATGGGAGCTTGGCTGCGCGGAGCCCACTGGCACTGAGTCAGCAGCATGTTCTAGGGCTCCAAATGTTCCCAGCGCCGCTGTCCGCATGAGGGTCCACGCCATCCATCCGAGATGGCAGCACGGGGAGCAGGGCTGCAGGTAAGAGCCATGGCAAAGGGGGCTACCAACTTGGGAATAAGGCGGTCACCGCCTTCCTCATTATTGGTGCACCCTTATTATCTACTATTCCCACAGCTTTCTAGCAAGTCTTCTTGTAGGTGGATTATTTTGGTCAAGGGATAAAGAGGTCTGTCATTTGGAAGTTAGGTGGCTATTTACTATCTATTTTCCATGGTCTGCCTTATGTTTTGGTTTTGACTTCTTTAAAATATGCTGTTTCACTTAGAGTTCACAAGGTGGTTTGTGCTATAAAAGTTCTCTTCAGGACCCTAAATATTGTGCTGATTTGGGTAGCGTAAGGATCCATACAGGATAAAATAGTAGCTTTTCTTATGATTGTAGCAGTTTACAGAAGATATGCATATGTTTTATAAGTTACTTGTACTTCATCTGCTAAATAATTCTCTCTTGTATGTGGTGGTGACACTTTTTTTTAGGAATTTGATTAAAATAGGTATTCTAGTTAAATACTTTTGTAAGCCAAAAACTCTTTATCTAGTTGTTTTTGATAAGTTTTAAATGCTGTTCTGTGATATTCTTAATTTGGATTTTATACCCTACAGAAAAGTGGGTCTTGAGTCTTGCATGTATTCAGCAGATTGGCTTTGAATTTCTCCAATTTTAGATACATTTATAGAAACATTAATAAAAGCAACTGTAAATGACCAGAGAAATAGTTCACTTCATATTTTCATAAGAATATATCTTCTTTTAAGAAAAAAAATATGACTCTTCATAGTGTATAAAACAAAAACTTTTTTAGGGTGTTGGGAAATGTAAAATTCTTTATCAAGATAAGGTGCAAAGTTAAAATGGAATTTAAGTCCTACAACAACATCTTTATCAAATAGCTTTCAAAAATGAAGTCTGGCTAACCTCGGGCAATGTCTCATATCCCCAAAATTCAGAAAGGGAACCCTGCAATCATCATGTATCATAGCCTGGTTTTATACCTTAATAAAACTGCATGCTTGAAATTACAAAGAAGTTATGGCAGGCAGCTAATGAACATGTTCTATGGAGACTACATTATCTACTATTTTATTTTAATGCCTGAACTATGAAAATATTTTTATAAAGTACCTTTGTAGTTAAAGATCACCCGCAACTGTAGAATAAAACGTTCAGTTTCTTACACCTGCTCTTAAGTTGCCAGGCCAATATTTATGCTTCCTAGGTCATACTATCATATATTAAAAAAAGAAATAAAATAAAAATGGGGGTATAGTCAGTTTGCCTGGAGGCCTGTTAGTCTAGGCAAATGCAGACCTACAATAAGTCTCCCCTTTCTGGTTGTTCTTCAAAAGAAGACACAAAGATAAGTGAAAGTAGCAAAACTTGAAGTGCACAAAATGTACAAAAAAGCTTTTCCTTTATTCTAGTTAACATTAGGTTTTTCTATTTTTACGCATTCTTATGGATAAAGCTGAATTTGGGCTTTTGACACCTGCTTTAATTACATGACTTCATATTGCATGGGCTGATATTAGAACATGTATGAAAGTAAGAGCCAAATTCTGTTAGTTAAATGGACAGGCTAAAAAAACTGTTTTATTGACTTTAGTTAGTTTACTGCTCAAGTTAAAATGTCTCTTCCCTTTCTGTTTCCCATTGGAACTCATAAGGCCCCAACAAAGTTCTAACGTCTGTGGCTTTTTGTAGCAAAAACAATTGACCCAGGCTTCCAAGAAATATTCTATACTTAAAAGGCAAAAAGTAACCACTTTACTTCGTTTTCCGCAGCTTTACTTCTAATCATCAAAACTCTGAATTGATAGCTGTGGATGATCAAGCCAAGGGAATATCTGTTTTACTTGCTGACTCAACAGCTGAAAGGAAAATGTGTTAGAGGTAGAGGGGTTATTTGTTTTGGAGTTGTTTACAGTCTTGGAATATGAAAATGTGATCCTGCAAGAGCAATAGCAAACTGACAACTTTAAAAAAAACCCCAATCTTTATCTGTGTAATGCAGTCTGCCAGGAGTAGATTAGTTGATCTTCCTGCTGCTCTGCTTGCTGATACTAAGAACAGTGGGAATAACATATCAGGGCTGCTACCAAGAATTTTATTTTCTGCAGTGCTTGCAAAGTTTCTTTGCAGTGACAGTAAAGAAACCTCTTAATATTGTTAAACTTCAAAGCAGGCTTTTGGGAATAACTTACACCCAGTGGCTTTGGCAGGAGTAAGTCCTGCCTCAAGTCCTCTAAAACAGACCAGGCATTTTTTAAATGCTACCTGAATTCAAAAGCAGGAAGTATTGTCTGAAATGAAATCGAGTCTAATTGCCTTTATGTGGCAATTTAGACAGTTTCAAGAATGTCTCGTTCAAACAAGTAGTATTACAATATCAACAAGTAATGCATCTGTAGGATAAGCCAGGGGTGTCAAACATGGTCCGCAAGCCAGGTCCAGCCTGTGGGTCTCTGGACCAGCCCCATGTGGTAGTCCTGGCCCCACATACTGCATGTGACGTATGAGCTGGACCCGGTGCCATGCTGCCTGTACAAAGCTTAGGTGCTCGGTTCGGGCATGCACAGTGGCTCTGGGACTAGTCTGGACCAGGCCATGCCATATCCAATGTCCTGGCCTAGGCCAGCATGGTGCCACATGGAGCGTACACCCTGTGCTGTGTGCAGCATGCACAGCCAGTCCACTCTGTCCGGGTGCCACCAGAACCTTTCTGCAGTGCTTGCAAAGTTTCTTTGCAGTGACAGGAGATGAACAGATAAGTGCAAGTTCAGGCTTGACACCCTGCCTTGGCAAATCCCTCACCCCTACTGCCCAATCCCTCTGCAGAGAAGTTAGCACTATAAGTCATCAATGAGGGTGCCACTCAGTTCACGAAAGTTAAGGAAGGATGCCTCAAGTCCAAAAGAGGTTGAGAGCCACACCTCTAAGCTAAAGTTTTAATCTTTTCCTCCATCTACTTTATTTATTCTCACCT